CCCCACCTCCATCCTCCATCCTCTCACATCCACAAGTTCATTCCTCCTCATTCCTGTAATTGGCTTTGATTTCTCCTCCAAATTACATCCAATAAAATAACCTGATTTAATATCTGTGTGAAAGCTTCGACCCGTTCAAGAAATGTTGGATCACCACAATATTTGTTTAATTGTGCATGCTGTTGTGCGCGCGCTCTCACCGAGAGCCCCTCGGACGGGAATGGGAGTTCTTCCTATGAGTGGGAATCACATGGCTGCATTAACAGACAGCACAGTACAGCTAATGTAACTCCTTCACAGTGAACCTGAGTCTATCACACCAAAAACTGCATTTATTATTATTATCATTGCATATTTCGACCTCTTTACGACACTTAATGCCTCTTGGAGACCAAGTGAACCTCTTCTAATACCCTTTGATTTCCCAGTCAGCCAAACAACAAACTTTATATAATTCTAACCAGGCTCATTTTCAAGGCCATTAGGCTTTTATGTAATTAGTGCCAAATCTATACGCCTCTATTGCAAATATCAGAGTAAGATCAGTATAAATTAGGGGTAATTTACTAGTGTTTAGGCCCAACTGTCAAGAAGGGAGGGACTTGGTTTAAATGATGTGTGAGCAAATTAATTCGGCGGAAAGTGGAGGGAGTTCAACACGAGCTGTGAATGCTTCCCTGTGATAAAGGGCCACAGTTAAAGCACCTGAATAACGTGACACCTGAACAGACAGAGGGACACCTGGAGGAGGCCTTTCTATTCCTCATATTTCATCGGTCTAAATTAGGGTTATTTCGTTTGTATGAGACAAGAAAAAGTTATTTAAAATCAACTTTAAAAAAATAAATAAAAAACGAGCTCCCATTGTCGCCGAATGAACCGCCATTAGAGTCAATTAGCACAGCAGCTTTTCTGGCCACCAGTCTGCCAAATATTTAAGGACCAAACAAAGAATCAGACATGCTTCAGACAGATGTCGGGACGTTCAGAGGGAGCAGGTTTTTATTTATTATGTGCTGGAAAAAAAGAAGTGGCACAAAGGAGGCGTCCGAGCGTGAACCCGGGGCTCGTTTGGGTTCTTTTCTTCCATCCATCCAGGCTTCAGTCTCCTCTGCTCATCTTTTATTTGTCTGCAATCTGGTGGCACGACCGACAGGCAGGCAGACAGACAGACAGAGAGACAGACAGACAGACAGACAGACCGGGAGGGATGGATGGATGGATGGAGTGGAGAGCGGGGAGTCTCTCTCGGACGCATCGGGGGGATGTGGAGCAGATTTGCGCTGATGTCTGCGTCTTTCTTCGGGGGAGGAAAAAAAGAAGAAGACGCGCACTTGGAGATATTGCTTGTCCTCTCCTTTATCGGGGCTCTGTTGCTTTAGAAGCTGGACTTTGAGGTAGACTTTAAGAGGGTTTAAAGCTGGAACCAAGCGGCTGTTATTTTAAATTATATTCTGTATGATATAGCTCAGTTTATTTCACTAAATTATTAAGATATATTTGTGTATTTGTGCACAGTCTCCGCTATTCGTGTGAATAATTATGTACAAAATTGGTAGTATTTTCCTTGTGGTCGCCTCTTTACTCGTTCGTTGGCGCGCTGAAAGCCTGTAAGGATAATTCAGAATCATCACATTGCGGGATGATGGATTGCGCGCTTCATTTTACGACTTTTCAATAGCTCAGTGCTTTTATAGCTGTACAAACAAAAGTGAATGACTCCTCCAGTAGCAGCAGCTCATATTTAACCCCAAAGCACACAGAGAGGGGACGATGAGGTGTCAGGGAGTGTGAGATATTTGTGCTGTGGCCAGAAAAACAAATACAAATGTATCTGATTTTTAAAAAACATTTTATTTAATATTTACAAGCCAAAAAAGGGGGGATTTATTTTTTTAAATGGTGCATAAGTGTTGTTTTCTTTCTGAATAAATCCATGTATGATTGCTCCAGACAAACACTGGCTGCCTGTAATACAATTCATTCAGCTGCTTTAGTTTGTATAGGTCGAATCTAGCAAGATTTCACGCTTTATTTGGGAAACGTGGACAGTAAAAGAACATTTCATTCACTGCATTTGAGTCTTAAAGCACAAGTTATTATTATTATTATTGGTTTATTTATTCATTATTATTATTTATATGAGCCAATTTGCTGTTGGATAAATTCTTCTACCTGGAAGTTGTTATTCCTATTAGTATTCCTATTGTATTTACTTTAACTAATTCAAAGGCATCTTTTCACTTAATAGTGTCAATAGATTCTCTCTCTCTCTCTCTATGTGTGTGTGTGTGTGTGTTGAAGGTCTTGCTTTTGCTGACTTGATAAGGCTGTAATTAGGGTAAACAAGGACCAGAGCCACAGTTAGCTGCATTCCCTCTCCGGCAGATTTCCACTAACATGCTCACATCAATCTTCTCCATGATATAAATAAAAATAGAGAAACAAATTCGCCCCCTGCAAGTTTAATGCGGTGCATCTGAGTGGAAAGTAGACATTTTCACGCGTTGTGGAGACGAGGAGTGACTTTTAATAAAAACAACATCAAATATAATACTGTAAAAATGGCGTGTTGGGGTTCTGCCCCTCACATCCCTGTGGGTGGTCGTCTCTGGTGGGGCTCGAACCCGTGACCTCATGGGTTACAGTATAGCCTCTCCAAACCACTAGGCCCTGGTGATTTTTTTTATTTCTTTTTTTTACCCCCCTCCTTCCTCTCTCTGATCGGCAGTCTGTATTCACTCAATTAGAGATTTCTGAGGAGAAAAACAATCGATCTTCCATCTGCACAAGCCTCCAGTTTAACAAATGAGATTCTTGTTTCATGCAGCTGATTTGGTGACAGTCTGGGGGGGATTAGGAGTAATAAATTCCCGTGTTGAAGAAGAGGAGGGTGACTCGGTTGCAGCCACAGCAGCAGCGGGCTGCTCTGCGTCCACTGCGGCCAGCGCAGGAAGTTTGACGCGGACAAACTTTAGCGGCAGACCGGAGGGGCGGAAAAATCTGCTGTTTCGCGTGAGCGGAAAAAACGCATCGCTCCTACCGCGTCCGCGTCAACGCGAGGGCTCATGTTGTTATGGTCTATTTTTAATATCAATAAAGCTGCAAATTGTAAAATTTCAACAAAATCAGCAGTGGAAGAAATATTCAGTTTCCTAAATAAAGTAAAATTAAATCGGCTTTATAATAAAATGCACTAAATTAGACTATAAAAGTAAAAGTGAAGACCCTCTGTCAGTATTAACATTAGATATATAAACCTATACTGGATTATTATTAATATTGCATTAACATGTAAGCTGCATCTTAAAGTTGCTGGCTGCAGTAGAGCTCATTTTACCCATATTATACACAGTTTGGTGGATTAATTCACTGTACATAAATAGATTGTATTTTATTATGCTCATTATAAAATCTGAATCTGTAAAGGAGTCTAACTAATAGCTTCCAAATGAACTTTGCAGAGTAAAAAGTACAATATTTCCCTCTGAATTGTTATGGAATATTAAAGTAAAACTAAAATCCTGAAGTATAATTGTGAGTTATTGAGCTTTAAGTAGTTACCTTAGCTGAGCAAATGTGCTATATGCTCTCATTATTCTCCCACATTATCAGATTGGAAATGGCAGCTATAGCTTGCTCTGAGGTTATATACAGGCCAATTCGATCATTAAGTGTGAGTTAACTACTGCTACTGAATGGCAAAGTAACCCCACTATATTACACTATATTACACGAGTGATGGTGAAAGTACATTTCAAGTACTGCATTTGAATGTACATTTTGAGGTACCTGAACTTTGAACATTCTGTTTTATAGTTCATTAAATTACCTCCACCACATTTATCTGACACCTTTAGCATATTAATACTTTTTTTCAGATTAAAAGAGCCTACAGACAAAAATATGTATATATCAGTTTATAAAATAACATATAGGTATTCCTATTTCAGTAGAACTACATAAAATGTGCTCCATCTCCTCTAGCAACATTAAAATACTGCTTTTAAGTTAATGCATTAGTGATAAAAATCCAGTTATATAATATATATATAATAACTTCCATAAGAGGGGTAAATTCTGTGCTTTTATTTTGATGCTTTTAAGCACATTTATCTGATAATACTTCCATACATTTACTTGTAACGGAGTATCTCACATATCACTACTCCAGTGTAGGATGTGATTCTCCTCCAGCCCCTGCACGGGTCCTCCGGTCACATAAACCCAGATGTAGCGCCCCGCCGGCGCATCTCATGCCTCAATTAGCGCCGCTGCCCTCTGCACGGACTCGATTAGACCGTGATTTATCCGAAAGAAATATAATTATACCTCCAAATAAAATAATCAGCATTGAAGAGCGATTTCCTTAACGAGATGGAGCGGGGTAGATGCCACGGAGTAGCAGCGCCTCATTAGGGCGGTAATGAGACTTTGGGGTGATCCCGATAATTATCGAAATGTGTAAAATAAGGATCAAGTCAAATGTAACCTTAATTTGTCTGGCAATTGAGTTCATTTATTAGTATGGCTATTTAGGAAGGACTCTCTCAGCCCTAATACAAGGTGTCGTTATTTTAGGGCCATTTGGATAATAGATGACAGGCCTGTTTTATCATTCAAGGCCACAACCAACATTTGTCATATGACTGACAGGGTTTCCCAGAGTGCTCTCCTCTTTATTGTAGGTACCAACACACAATCCATTTCACTGCTCTGAACAGGGACACCAGCAGGAGAATACACAGTGCAATCAAGCCCATCAGT